CTTCTCACGTTAAGTTTATTGCATCTGCCTATTGATAGACATTGAGTGGTCATTGGTTTGGGATGTATGGTGCAACCCAAAGGATAGCATCCCATCCTCAGAGGGTGTCATCTCCAAGTCAGTACCTCAGCTGTGTCTTTAAGAAGCCATTCTACCATCTATCAGGTCTGCAGCTTCTGTATGGTGCAATATGCGGCAAGACTAGTGGAACTAGTACCCATTGCCACACTGCCTTTTCTGTAACTTGGATCTCTTGGTCTGCAGTGATGTTGTATGAGAGCTGTGTCAGTGAATCAGACATTCTGTGAGCTCTCAGATAGTGGTGATGGCATAAGGCTCCAGAGAAAGGCGAGGCAAACCCATACCCAGTATATGTATCAATCCTGGTCAGGGTGAATCACCACCCTTCTCATGACAGAAGGGGTCTTACACTATAAACTTGCCATCAAGTGGCTAGTTGGGCTCTTCCTGGGATGTTATTGTGTCAGGGGCTCAGTTTTGGTATCTGTTGATGACAGGTTGGACGTTTAACAGTGGCAGTAGCTTGATCAGCCTTGGTTATCAGACCGGCTGTTGGACTCATGCATAATTTTATCACTGTCTCTGTGATACTCTGTTCATGAGTGCATCTTGTGCAAGCATGAGCTGGAGGATAAGGGGTGAGGACAGAGACTGGCTGACGTCCACTGGCTGTGAGTCATCCTGCCAACTAGGTTGTTTAGTGCCTCTTCTGCAGTGGGCATGTTCAGGTGTATGTTAAAACGGATCCCTACACTCTTTGCCTACTCCCATAGGTCTGTCCACATGCCTCTTTCCATGTCTCTGACCAGCTAACCTAAGCCATTTGCCACTGCTCGCAAGTATGTATATAATCTTTTCTTAGGTTACTTCTCTCTTCACGCAAAGTAGATGAGCAGGCACTGCCCAAATCTCTGCCTATTGGAAGGATTCCCTCTCATCACAGTCTTTGAGCCCCTTGAGGGGAGCTAGTGCAGGCTTAGTTCACTTGCAGCTTACATCCATGTACCAAGTTGCCTCATCTGTGAACCAAGCTCAGGAATTTCCTTGTCTGTCAGCTGGTTATAAAAACCCTTCACATGGCAATAGATATTTGCCAAGGGGGAGGCGTTGGTGCTACCATCCCCATCTCAAGTCTTGGGGTCTCACTCCTTCCCTTTTAGTAGTCTGCTTTTGGTATAGAAAATCTGCCGTGACGTGCATTCAGTCCTGTCTGTAGTTCTGCCACTCTTACAATGAAGTCCTCACCTGATCTTCACTCTGCCTTATCTGCTTTCCAGCTACAGAAGATAAGTGTTTCCATGCTTCCTGCCAAGAGGTTTCCTTGGACTCTCACATTTTGCTTTAAATTGCCAGTTAAGAGATCTGAGAATGTAATTTCCTTTCTTCAGTGAATCAGTGACCCTTAGCAGTAGCCACTCAATTCCATAGTCTTAATGCTTTTCTTCCCTCCTACCTCTCAAATGCCAGAGACAGTGCACTAGCTGGCACAGCCCCCTTGTCTATGTGTCAACCCAGTTTACCAAGGGTGAAAGTCATCACAGATGCATGCCCATGACTATCACCAGTGATGGGTCTTCATTCCCGTCTGGTCAGTGATCCACCTCCAGCATCCTATCCTCAGAGGCTGCCTCCTAGGCCCACTCCTTGGCACCTGCTGCCTTAGGCTGGTTCCTTATGAGCAGAGCCTGAGGCAGGCTTTCAGATTCCTGTGATTTATTGAGGGAGTGCTCTCAGGAGAAACCTGTAAGGGAGGGAGTGAGGCAGAAGAGGGAAGGGGAAAGAGTCAAGCAAGCATGTGGCCTCAGGTAAAGTCTAGACCTAATCTGATCCACAGGGAAGATTCTGGAACACTGACCACACTGCAGCAAAGAGTTTGTCCTTTGATTGTTTTTAGCAGTCTTTGGGTGTGGGCCTCCTGGCAGGGGTGTGTGTGCAGTAGGGGTGGGTAACCTTCCAGGCAAGGAGGTCCCTGTCTCCTGAGGGCAAGTATGATGAAGAGAAGTTGTGAGCTTCTGGAAGCTAATACCCTTACCAGTGGAAGGGTGGGTGCCAGCCAGTAAAAGAGAGCTTGACAGAGCTCCACAGTACCCAGTTACTACAGGAACCTGTGAAGATGACAAAGAAGGCATAGTCAGTGGGAGTCAAGTAGAACCAAAGACTCAAAAGAAGGGATTGCCATGGAATCCAAGAGAAGAGAATTTCAAGGAAGAAATGGCAACTGTCAAATGCAGTTGTGAGGTCCAGTCGCCAAAAGCAGCATGGACTTTAGCAATCAAGAGGTCATAGGCAAGCTTGCAAGAGAGGTTTCAGAGAACTTCAGAGATGTAGGCCACAGGGCGTCAAGGGTGATGGATGCTCAAGTAAAGACAGTGAGCATGAGCAGTTTCCTTGACTGAGAAGTCTGCATGAGAAGGAGCAGAGAGAGGCTGGACAGCAAAGGGTGGGGATGCTGGCTGTTAGACCTCACAGCCAGAGCCCAAAGCTCTAGACCTGGGGAGGAGGAGCAAGGGAGGGTAGAGGAAAGGGGCTGAAGTCCCTCCCAGAAGACAAGGAGGTGATGGTGTCAGGGGCTGGCCCTGACTGGGGCAGAGATACCACATCCTCTGGGCCTGGGTGGATGAAGATAAGGCTTGGGTAGGATGGAGGTGGGGGCAGTTAGTAGGGGTCTGTTTGATGGCTGGGTAGCCTGTTTAGAGTGAGGTGGGTGTGCCTGAGCAGAAGGCTGGAGCAGAGGACCAGGGACCTGGGTGTATGGGTGGGGAGACTATGCCCTGAGGTCTCAGTGAGGCTGGAGACCCTCATTTGTCCTGGCATTGACCTGCAGGGCCTAATGACTTTCCCCAAGAGCACGCTATGGCCTTATGTGGGACAGTCATTGGATCCACACTGGGGGCTTTGCGAGGTAGTTTGGGAAGAACAGAAACCCAAGATGATCCATAGGCTAGAGGGAGTGATGTGTGGCTCTAGGTGTGGGGAGGAGGGCAGTAGGGAGAGGAGCAGGCAGGCTGAGCTCCAAGCTGCCCTGAGCCAGACCCTCCGCTGGGCTTTTCTGGTGGACTTTTCGCATCCTAGGCCCAAGAAGGAAGTGACCGGTATCAGGAAGAGTTAGTGGGGTGGGGCGGGCGGGTCTCCACACAGCCTTGCGAGACAGCCACAGTATTTAGCTGCATCATTGGTTTCACCCTCTCAAGTGAGAATGCCGGGAAGGTTTGCTATTTATCGTGAAGTCGGAGGAGCGTGCTGCCCTGCCTTTCCCTCCCCATCCCTGCCTGCTTCCTGTCCGTAAGACAGAAGCATTCAAACTCTGTTTTTAACCACAACCCACAAGTAAGAATTAATTGTACCTCATGATTCAGCAGACATGCACATAAACACACACACACAACTGCAATGAAAGTTTCACAGTACAATCCTCATCCTTACTTTGCAGGGTGCTCTTGGTGTTTTTGACTTTACTCTCAATTATTTCATTAAAGAGAGCTGGTCACACCCCGCCAAACTAATTTCCCGGGTCATTCGAGGGGTCTATGGGTCATAGAGAAGTGCTGCTCTAAGGCAGCAGGGAGCTGGGGTGGCCCCTTTTTGAAGGTCTCAGTTGTACCATCTTCCCCTCCTCTCTGAGGAGTGTCTGTTCTCAAAGAAAACGCTCCTGCCCTGGGGATGCTGGCAGAAGGCAGTGCCTGCAGTTTAGCAGTGACCAGGACTCCATTTTTAACGTGAATTCTCCTTCTCCTCCTCACCTTCCACCTCCCACCAAAAAGAGAAACTGGCCCCCTTGGAGAATCCCCGAGGCAGGGGACTTCTAGGTACCCAATTCCTCACAGGCAGTTCTGTTGCTGATGCAACCAGGCACCTGTCATCCTGACTCACTCCTGTACACACACACTCGCTCACATGCAGAGACCCTCATGCTCTCCTGACACACGTTCCCACATACACACTCCAGTAGGGATAGTTGGCGTGCCTGCCAGTCCCCACTTCTTTCTTTGGACTTGGCCTTCACCCACAGGCCCTGCAGAGGGAAGGCTGGGTGGTGGCATTTCTTCTTCCTATTGCCCTGAGGCCAGAGCTAAGTGGAGGAGGGGCAGTGATTGGCTGCTGGGCTCTGAGAATCAGATTCACTTCCCCAAACTTGCAGAGGTGACACAGGAAGGGCAGTTTGTGCCAGTGCTGAGGTTGTAAGAACTGTGGCCTGGGGAGGGGTCATAGCACCAGAACCCCACGTAAACTGCAGTCATGGAGAAGAGGAAACCCAAGGTTTCCATAGAGGGGAGCAAGGCAGGGGTGCTGAGAAGTGAGGTGGCCAGAGAGACAAGCAACGGGGAGAGTGGCAGAGTCAACACTCCAGGTTCTGTGAAGAACTAGCGATGGTTCCAGTTCTTCATTCTAGAATGGTTTGGACAGTACCCTCTAGGGCTGTTCCTTAAACTCAGAAAATCCACAGGGAGCTTGCGGTCTTTTTTATCAAAGACCCGCCAGCATCACACACCCTCCCTGCGTCACACATGGCCTGAGGCCTCAGCACCCCCCTATAGGGCCTGGCCTTGTTCAAGCCCCCTTTCCCTGCCTGTCTGTCCCACCGCCAGGAGGAGGGCCTGCTGGAGACTGGGGTCCCACCAGGAGGAGGCTAGGACACTGGACTCTGAACACTAACCTGCCCTAGGTCCTCTTTCAGAGACACCGCGGCAGGGGCTTCTTCAGGCCCACACCCAGACCACCTGACTGCGTGTGTGCTTGCTTTTTTTGCAAGGTGATCGGGCAGGGGTGGTGGTTTAAAAGCAAAATCAAAGACACCCCAATCACTCCTTGACATTCACAAAATAGCTAATTCGCCAAACCTTCATTTTTGTCAATTTATTTAGAAAAAAATTAACATGGGCAAATGAGATACCTCAGTGTTACAACAGAGTATAGAAATGTCTAGCAATAGTCAAATAATTTGATCTTTAAATACAAAATAACCACATGAACACCTAATATACAGGTTTCATCTGAATACATATTTATTAGATAAATATTAGAAGTTGTCACATCATCTAACTACATACAGCTTTGCAAGACTAGAAATCACAATTAGTTTTCTGACCAGTTTGAAGTATGAAATGGTTGCATTGTACATACATGTACAAAGACGACGACGGTTTCTGTGGGAGTTACTTCAGGCTGCACTGTGGGTGTGTTTATGGGTATGTGTGAATCACCTGCAGTCATGATATCAAAAATTATACAAAGTATGAATTTGATTACAATTTTCTTCTGAAATCCCCGTTTCTTTTCATTATTTCCATAGCACCCTAAAAATACACAGGTGGCAGGACTAGTACACTGAAGCTAAATAGTACATGTAGGTAAAATAACAACAAAACAGAACAAAAGCTCCTTTGCACACAGGGTCAGAGTATCTTACATGAGTGAGACAAATGTGGAGAGACCGACCTCACAGACGCTAACGAACAGGATCTAGTTTTTCCATGTTAAGATGGAGTTCAAGCCTTTTTTGTTTTGTTTTGTTCCATAAAATAAAAACAATACACATTCCAAGGAAAATGAATGCATCTGTTAACATGTCTCTATTTCTCATTTACATATGTACACACGTCCCTTGAGTCTCTGATGCTGACGTCGCCCTATCTGGATGGGTCAGGCAGAGGGAGCAGATGTGTAGCTCTCTGGGGGGTTAGGGATTCCATTAGGGAGAAATGATTAGAAGTTTCTTAAAAAAAAAATAAAATGGCTACAGGGAACATACCTGGGTAAAGCTTCAAACCAAGATGGGGTGATTGCCTGTACTTGGGCCTTCCTGCCTGCCGGCCGGCGCCCTACCCACCCAGTGGAGAGGCAACAGGCATATGCCTATGGCTGGGGTGGATGCTCGTCATGGAGAAGTGGTTTGCTGAGGCCTCGTTTTTGCTGAGGTTACTTATGGCTCCAAGTAGTTGTCCGAAAGGATCAGGGAAGCATCTCCCCAGAGTTCAGAACCGACCCTGCTTGGGGAGGCTGTTGTCACCTGAATCTGTCACCAGCTGGGGCTTGTTCCAGCCCTGGACGCCTTCATGCCTCCCTTACCCCCTGGCCAAAATCACTCTGGAAGAGTGCACCCCCAGAGCATGGGCTTCAGGCACCACGGTTCAGGAAAGCTCTTTGCCGAACTTGCTGGTGGAGGCTCGCTTGCGAGGGGGCCCAGGAAACCTGCCTCAGGTGCCCAGCCCATGGCTCCTGGCACCTGGGCTGTGGGGAGCATATTGACCCTCTGCACCAGAAAGCTGGGAGTAGGTCAGCGAGCAGAGTGGGGACTCCCGGTAAGAACCAGGAGGACCCCAGGCCTTTCTGGGACAAAGTAGCACGACAGGAAGCAGGAACTTCTAAGGAAGGCATCTGTCAGTCAGTTTGGGCGGAACATTCCCAGATGGCCCGACACAGTGTGACCACCTGCCGGGGCTATCGGCCACTGAGCAAGGATGGCCACATGCTACCTGGCATCATTTTGTCCCCACCAGCCGACTGGGGATGGCTCCAAACAGTGGCCGGCCTGGTCTCCTGAGTCACGGCACAGCCACCCACGCTCTTTGCCCCATCATCTGTACAAACAGCCCTGGTTGCTTTTTTGTTTTTGTTTGTTATTTTTTTAAAAAAAGACTCTGTTTTTGTCATTGAGTCAAGGTATTTTAAAAACACCAGCAAAGGCTATAACCAGGTCATGAAAATGTTGAATATTATCAAAGACGATACTAAAATATTCACAAAGATATTTACAAAAGCAATTCTTAAAATAATTGATTTGCATACTGAACACCACACTGTTTGAAAAAACCTTGACAATAGGACAAAGGAAAAAAGCGGGGCGTGGGGGTGACAATGGCAGCTGTCCTACAGAAAACCTTGTGCTGGCCGTCTGGTACGGTGACTGGAGGTCAACAGCTGGGGTCACCGTTCTGGTCAAATCCAGAGGAGTGCTGGGGACCACCCGCCACAGAGAGGGAGACGGAGACTGAGAACACGGACAGTGAATGGGAGAGCAGGAGAGGCCCCAGGCAGCAGTGGAAAAGGGGGCAATGATTTTACAGATGTGACTCAAGTGACCCGACAGCCCAGCAGCAGCACAGGCCATGCGGCTTAGGGGAGCACGGACGAGCCTGAAACAAAAGAGACACACAAGCTACCCAGGAGACTCCAAGAACAGCAGGCCAGATGGAGCCAAGCAGTGGAGGGAAAACCAGAGGCTGCTTCTGCCTGAGCGAGCAGGAGTGTGGGGTGAGCTTTCGAGGGCAGAGGGATACAGAGGGAGGGAAAGGCTGCCAGCCAGGTGGGGCATCTGAGGCAGCCACAAACACCACAGGATGCTCTTGGGTCCATCCCAGCACATGTGATGCCTGACTGGGCCAGGGCTGGGGGCAGCCTTGAGCAGAGACAGATGGACAAGGGGGCAGGAGACATGCTGATGCCTGGGTCCTGCTGCTATGCCCTTGCATGCGCCTGAGCCCACATCTCCCCTGCCTTCCCACCATCCTACCTTGCCGTCTAGGTGTACAAAGGGGAGCTGGGACAGAGGGAAGTGGGTGTCCCTAGTAACAGTCTTGGAGAGGTGAGGGAGCAGGAAGAAGGAAACAGAACAAATGGAGAGAAACGGTTTGCTTGCTGTCCAAGTCCAACATTCCTTTTCTCCAGATGACTTCATAGCTTTAAGTTGTGTTTAAAAACGGGGTGGCTTGGAGCAAAGTTCTAAGTTGCCGTTCCCATTCGACTCTGGCTGGAGGCATCCCTCGCCCCCTGACTAAGGGCACAGTAATGTCAGGTGGGCTCTCTCTTCCTCTGCCCCTCAAAGCCGGGCCCTGGCCTCAGTCCAAAGGTCCCGAAGCCATCTTGCTGCATTGCCCTGGCTCTGAGGAGGCCCTGATCCCCTTTCCCACCCATCCCCAAGCAGGAATGGCACACCCTCTCTCGAATGCAGAATCTTGTCCTTTTTCTCTGCTTTCTGAGAGAGAGTATTTACAGGGTTATCTTGGCTTAGAGGTCAGGGGTCAAAGTGATGTCCTTGGCCCATGAGAGAGTTCTCTTTCCCAGAGGTTTGTGCTTTTCTGTGGTGGGTGGTGGTGGTGGTGGGCAGACCATTCTCACTGCCGTCAACCGTCACTGCTCCTCCAAGGCTCAGGGCCCGCCTGGGTCTCGGGGGGGCCTTCTCTCAGGCGCACAGTCACTTGAAGGAGGCTCTGGGCCAGGAAGTAGGGAGGCAGGGTCACAGTTTAGAAACTGGTAGAACCTGGGGGGCACGGGGTCTTTTGGAATCAGCACACACAGAGGGACCAGGAAGCCGTCATCAGCGTATGCCTCTCAGGAGGCCAGCTCCCCATGACAAGGGTCTTCTTCACGGCCTGCTCTGGGCGTGGGCTCCCGATCCACACAGCCTTCACAGCGCACCCTCCCGCCCCCTTGCTCTGAGAAGGCCGCAGAAGGGGCGGTCGGAGGGCACAGGCTCCCAGCGGGAAAGTGTGTGTGGGACAGACAGGGAAGGAGGCAGAGTAGGGGGTATGGCCCCGACGGAGGGGTGGGCTTCAGTTGTTCTCAAAGAGAGAGAGGAGGTCATCGTTACTATTGCTTGGCAGGTCGGGGGGGTCCAGGTATGAGAGGAGCTCGTCGGGATTTGTGAGTTCTGGAAGGAGCTGGAAAAGAGTACAGAAGCCCAGATGAGGTGTCAGCTGAGGGCCAGGGTGGCCCAGGGTGAGGGGCAGCCCCAGGCCCGTTCATTTGCCCTCTACCTGCCTCGCAGAATTCTGGTCCCAACAGGGGAATAATAGTGCCAGCTGTCCCCAAACAGGCCACTGTGCCAGTCTAGGGCACACTCATGCTTATTTTAAGCCTGGGAGAGAGAATTCCCCAGCCCACCAGCTGGGAAAGCTCATAGCGGGTCAAGGGGCTTCCTCTTGATCACAGTGTTCCTCTGGCTCCCTGAGACCCTGTGTGAGAAGCTGTGGGTCACTTGGGCCTCCCAGGAGAAACCACATGGCTTTGCACATAAGGCCCGGCGGTCCCTGTAGCTCCCACTACCCTGGACCTCTCCCAAGAGCTCACCACTCCTTGGTGAGCCCGTGGCTGGCTACCAGCACTGCCCTTCCCTGCGCCCCCTGGGCAGAGGCTGCAGACAGTCCCTACCCTCTACTGTGAGGTCTCTGGAGTTGTTCTGTCACATGAGGGGTCCTCATGAACCTAAAAGCACCCCCACTGGCCTTGTCTGGGGAGGAGATTTGGGTAAGAATCCAAGATGGCCACAAAGCTGAGTAAACCCCATTCACCACAAAGACTCCAACACTGGGGCTGAGGGTGACAGCAAGGCTGCGATGTGAAGGACAGGAGTGGCTAAAGAGAGGCCAGGCCTCCTCTCTGGGAATCTAGAGCCTAGGGGTGTGGGATGGGAGGGGCAAATGCTGTGTCCCTTCCTGGCTAGCCCTGGCCAGCTGCCCAGCACCCATCATTCAGAGCATCCCCCTCACTCCACCTTCCAAATCATTCAGGTCTGAAGGTGGGAGACTCATGAATCTCAGCTGCCCACTTCCACCTCAGTAACCCCCTCGCATGACCCAAGGATAATCCTACTTCACCCACACAGGGGCCTTTCTCAGAGTGAGCGATGGAGCAAGCAGAAGCACAGGGAATGGACAACACACGGACAAGAAACTAAAGACAGACAAACACCAGTGAGACAGAGGGACCCTGTCACTCCAGCCCTTCCCTTGCCTTGGGCTAGAGAGTGGGGCAGACACGGAGATGGCAAGCTCAGTGTTGGGGGAGAGGGCAGGGGTGGGGCTGGGGGGAAGAAGGGCAAGGACCCTCTTGTGCTGCCTCCAGAACCTGGGCCCAGAAGAACTCTGAGGGTTTGGGTGGAAGGCGAGGCAGGGCTTGGCTGCAGGACTGTAGCCAAGGGGACGAGGGGGCAGGGGCCAGCAGAGTGGGGAGGGGACGCTCAGACCCTTGGTGAGGCTTCCCCATTGTGGGGTTCCCTGGTTCTGGAGCCAGGGGAGGCTGGATGGGCCCACCCACCACCCACCCCCTCATAGCTGTACCTCCTCCACCCTGGGTCTCAAGCCCTCAATACCCACCCCTGCTCTTGGGCAGGTCCCAGTGCCAGGCCTAGCCCCAGGCCAAGGCAAGTGGCAGCCCCAACTTACATCCAGCGAAGGCTCCGGCATGTCTGATGCTCCCTGTGCTCCGGCCTGACCCTCTAAGGCTGAGGAGGGGTTAAAGGTCAGGTCGCTGTGTGGATGGTTGCTGGGAGCGGCCTGTGGCGGTTGCCGGGGAGGCTGGGAAGGAGGAGGAGGAGCCCCACTGTGATGTAATGGAGGCCCTGCCTGGCTGCTGGGGTGTGGGACGTGCAAACCTTGTTGTATGGAGGGATGGGGCTGGTCAGAACTGCCAGCGTGTGGCATCTGTGGAGGAGGAGAGAGCAGGAGAAAAGAAAGGTGAGGTGACGAGGTACAGCGACGAGATGCCTGGAGAAATGAAAACCAAACAAAACCAGGAAAATAACAAACCCCCAAAACAAACCCCCCTTTACAAAGCTGAATGCTTTTTTTTTTTTGTGGAGAAGCAAAAAGTCCTCCCCAAAAACCACCAGTCAGGGAGGCTGTGGAGAGGATGGCAGGGGAGAGGGCCTTTGAGGCCACGTGGGCTGGGAGGGAGGCAGCCAGGGGCTCTGAGACAAGCACAAACACTGAGAGCCCCTCTGCCTCTCCAGCCCAGACACCATCACAATGAACAACAGCGAGGGCAGAATGGAGAAGCAAAATGGGCATGTTTCCAGGGAGTGGGGAAGCGGAAGGGGTGCTGCTGGCAGCGTGGTGCAGGCCCCTGAGGGCCAGGGCAGTGGAGAGCAGACACGGACAGACAGCATGGGGCAGGCGTGCAGCTCAGGAGTGGGTCTGAGCCCCACCAGTGGGCCCTGGGCAGGGGGCCATGCTGGGCACGAAGCTTCCTTTTGAGAGCCCGAGGTGGTGGCAGCCAGGGCCTTGGTGCAAACCCTGCCTGCTGCCCAGGGTAGGGTGCAATTGAGCCGAAGTCAAAGGGGCTTCTCAGTACTGCCAGACCCTTCCTCCTGACCACCCACCTAGGCAGCTACAGGCTGCACTCACATGGTACTGAAGAATGCAGGCACCTCCATGCCTCCCAGAGCCCAAGGGTGCATGGAGGGCATGCCTCGCTGAGGCTGGGGCAGGTTGTGCTTCTCTAACAGATGAACCAGAGAACCCACGCCCTACATGTGCCTATGCACTGACACACGGGGGCTGTGTGTGGGTGAGATTTCAACTGCCCCTGCTCGTCTGTTTGCTGCTCTAAGCAGGTCCTCCTTCAGAGCTCAGACCTCAGAGAGAAAGGCCGAGTCCAGGCCCTCACGCTATTACCAGCATCTCTGACAGACCCCCCCAGCCCCTCCTGCACTCTGCTAATGAAGGGGAGCTCACCGACTGGCCAGGCCGCTCATTGGAACGGGCAGCCCAGTGACCAAATGTCTCCTTGGTCTTTTAGTACCCTCCTGCCCACACTGTCTTCTGGGCCACACAGAGACATTTACACTTTCTTCCTTTCTGGGTTTGGAAATGGCAGCCATACTATCCATGATCTTCTCCAAACTCTAGTTCCCCCTCCCATTTCTCCTAAGTGCTATTCCTCAGGCCTTGCTGTGGGCTGACCTCTGCTCATAGTCCAGGTGGCCCGACACAGCACAGTGCCCCTCCAGCCTGGGCCCTGAATGGGGGATGACTGCACAACAGTGGGATTGGTGACCCTAGGAGACCATGTGTGGGATGCACATGAGGTAAGAAGGACCAGGAGAGACGGGAAGAATGGCCACCACAGCTGTCAGTATGAGGCCAGCTTCTGACTCCCTCCCATGCCTGTGGATGCCCTACAGTGTCCATTCTGGGTGGCAAGGGGCAGGAAGCAGGGAGGGGCTCCATACTCCTGGGGCAGCCCACTGAGGACAGGCAGTCCCTGGATCTGACACCCTTAGCCCTGACATCTTGCTGGAATGTCCCAGGGCTCTAAGGAACAGGTGCTCTCTGGGATCTGCTGAAATACCTGTCAACCTGTCACCTGGTTGGGAGGTGTCCTTGGGTGAATCAGTGTCTGGGTGGGGCCCTCCCCGACTCCCCAGGCACATGGGAACCCTTCCTGGTCATGTGCTCAGCTGGGGTCCAGGCTGCTCTGGCTGGGCAGGTGTGGGGGAAGTTTATCAGTGACTCCACTACTCCACCTTGCATAGCTGGACTTCTGAGTCCAGTTGCTGTCTAGAGAGAGACCAGAAATGGGGAAGGACAATGCCTATCTGGGGAGTACCCTGGGGGGGCTGTGAAGTCAACTTCTGAGTTTAGGTTCCTCTGCAAAGAATCCTGGCGGCAGCTAACAAGGCAGGAGAAAGCCTTGTTGGACACAGGAAGTACATGGCATCCATCTGTCATTTTCCAGCTTTGGGAATTGTGAGGGCTCAGGATGTGTTCCGTGAGTATGTGCAGGGTATGATCTGGGTGTGGAATGCTGAGATCCTGAGGAGCAGGACTGGAGAAAGGGGGCCAGGAGAGAGGCCCCTAGAAGTTGGAAGCCCCGTGGGACAGAAAGTAACTTGCAAAAATATGGCTGAAGCCCCATGAAAGCAGCTATTTCTAACTTGGCATCCTGGGGTCCCATGGCAAAGTTGCTACAGTGCTCCTCACCTAGAGTGAGTCCTTTTGGTTAATAGTCACTCTTGCTGAGAATCAGGTGGCTCAGGCCCACAGGCAGCTCCTGATCCAGTGCCAGAGGCAATTCCATGCGGAACAATCCAGAGGCCCCTTCCTTCCGGCCATGTGATGGAGGATGAGAGAGTATGGAGTGGCACCTTCTGGTGTAGGCCCACCCAACCCTGCTGTCAGTCACTGGTGGGAGCCCTGGACCCTTCTCTCTGGCTGGCGTGGCCCAGGCCTTCAGTGACTGCCCCTACCCTCCACCTAAGGTGAGAAACCAGGGACAGACAGAGTAACTGAGGCCTCAGACTTCAGTCTCAGTTTCCCCAAAACTCCAACACTTTCTTCCATCCAGGCACGGCCAGGACTTTTGCTCCATTAGCACAAGGCCTGTATCTGTCTTGCTTACACCTGGCACAAGGCCCAGCCTGGAGCACTGGCTCAGGAATCATCTGCTAAATGGAGTGGAATCATCCATCGCCCATTAGATGAGGACTTGCGGGCAGCGAGGCCTTCTACCACCGCCATTGGGGCCTCAGGAAGGGGAGGCCTCTGGACGGCACAGGACACCTTACCCGCAAGGAGCTTTCTCAGCAACACAGTGTATGTGTTAATAAATGTGAAACAGGATGAGAAGGGAACACTCAGAATACGTAGCCTTCCCAACATTTCTGTTTGCAAGATTCAGACCCCTGGGACGTAAAGTGCCTGGGTATGGGACAAAATTCTAGATGGCTAGGGCTACAGTGAGGTAGTGTAAGAGTGTGTGAAAGTAGGGGAGAAGGTGAGTGGGGGTGTGTGTGTACGTGGTGGGTGTATAGGGGTGTATGGGGGCATATGTAGTGGGTGTGCACACATGCATGTGTATGCACAGAGTGTGTGTGCAGGGAGGAGACTGAAGCTTCCCCCTTCTCCTCAGAATTCAATGTCCTGGGTGAAACAGCCAAGTCCAAGGACACCGCTGGGCCATGACCCAGCCTCCGTCAGGCCTCTCACTTCCTTCTGAGCCCCCAGACCCAATTCTCAGTCCTCCCCTTTGCCTGGGAGGGAACTAGGCAAACTATCAGAAAGGTCCCAGGGTGAGCCCTCCACCCCCGTCAGCCCCACGTAGAGGCGAGGAAGAGGTACTCACAGTTTCCTGCATGGGGTGACTGAGGGGCTTCTCGAGGGCGGCCATGTTGTTGGGCATGTCCGGGGGGTGGGAGAGCTGGGGGGGCCCATGCATGAAGTCATTCATGGACGTCCCACTGGGGTTCCCGTGGGGGAAGTCAAAGTTGCCATGGCCCTGGTAGTTGTTGCCTGGGAGGGAACAAGATGGCAGGGAATGGGGGGTGTCATCACCCAGAGGGAAGACAGCTGCCTCCGGGGGTCAGGAAGTGTCTAAATTAAGAACCAGGTCCTGTCCTCCTGCGAGGCTGAGTTGGCTCCTGCAGCCTCAGACCTCTGAGCTGTACAATGGGGCAGTGATGCAGCCTTTTCCGTGGCCTCAACACAACAGGGCACGTGCTGTTCTACAGCTGCGAGGAAGGGCAGAGTGGGAGAACAGGTGGGCCAGGTTCCTGCAGTGGAGGAGGACATGGAATGAGGCCCAAGTCTGAGCCTTCCTCAGGATCTGCTGAGTTAGCCCCCTGGATGGCTGCCCTTTAACCCAGGCCCAGAGCGGGAGGTCAGAATCTGCCAAGTCCGTGAAGAAAGCTGCACTGGACTCAACCATTAGAAGCCATCTATCTGGCCTCCATGGCCACTGCTCCCTCCAGCACGTGGCCATAGCAAGGGTCAGAGCATCAGCATGCTGCAAAGCCGGGGCCCTCGGTATCCTGTGGACTCTGGCTAGATGGGCTAACCTCTCTAGGTCTCTAATCCTCTAGGAGCCCTGGGTCCCTAAGAGCAGGGATCCTGTTGGTGAGTTGCATCCTGTGTTTGAGGTGGGTGGGTACTTTCTAGGAACCGAGGGCAGTAGGGATGAAGCTTGGTCGGGGCAGCAGGGAGAGTAAGAGGCCACTGATGGTGACCTTGGCGGCCAAATGGTGGAGCTCTAGGCCCCTGGACTCTGTCCCTGGGAGGGTGGAAGAGTTGCGGGGACAAGGACAATATAGACGTCAGAGAGAAACATGGGAGGGCCAAGAACTCCAAGTGGGAGTATTCTCTGCTAGCGGCCCCAGGGAACATTCGGGCTGGGAAGAGGTGGCAGTTGTGTCCCCAGCAAAGCAGGCTCTGAAGCCACTTGGCTTGGCACCTGCCTGCCGGACTCAAGGAGCTGTCAGGAGAGGTGGCTGGGCAGGGTGGGGAGGCAGGAGGCTGGCTGCTGGGGCAGCTCCTCACTCATACCTTTCCAGCCGGGTGCCAACCCTCAGGGATGGATGGAACTAGGTCGGTGGACTGAGGGGTGGATGGCGCTGCATGGGACACGCTACCCTCAAGTCCAGTGATGTGGCATGGTTTTTTGGGAATGTGAATTACCTCTGCCTCTTCAGACCACACCCCCCTGCACCTGCCACCATCAGCCCAGAAATCCTGTGCCCCCACTGGGACTTGGGGCTGCCCTGCTGCCTCCCTCTTGGTTCGGCATCACCCACCTTGGCTACTGTAGTCACTGGAGTTGGTGCCCCCAGGCGGAGGCGGGAGTGGGTAGGGGGACGGGCCGGGGCCCAGAGCTGCGATCATCTCCATGACATTGGGCATGATCATCTGGCTGGGACTCATGGTCTTGAACCGCTTGGAGGGAATACCATCAGGGTCATCCTTAATGTGTAGGTCCGACTTGATGGGCACTGGCCGCCAGCTGCATGTGGGGTCGATGGTGACCTCTTCAAACTCGGAGCTGGGGGAGCGAGAGGGCAGAACTGAGGTTCTGGGGCGTGGGGCTTTGGACACTAGAGCCTGCAGCTTGGAGAGACACTGAGGTGTCCTTGCCCAGGCCCCCTGCCTCCATTTTCACGATGCTCTGCATATGACAGAGGTGTGGGAAAGTTTCCCATCTTTTGAGAGATGGGGAGACTGTGGCTAGGAAAAGCAAGTGGCTGGCATAGGTCAACTGCTCCCAAGGCCTCCCACCCAGGAAGTGGCTGTTGGGGGCACTATCAGGTTCCTGCACTGGCTGAAGTTGGTCCTTTCTGTAAAGTTCATTTGCCCCCAGGCACAGTCACAGAGAAGTGAGAGAGATGGGCAAGTGGTCTGCCAGCCTGGAGAGGGGAGAGGGTATCAGGGATGTCCACGTGCTCACCTCATCCAATCCAGGCCAGGGTTCCCGCCCCCACCCCATGTGCCCCTAGCTAGGAAGGCCCACTTACTGTTGGATGGCGTTCAGGATGCCCCACATGTACTGATCCACCTCCAGGCCCTCGAGCAAAGCAGTTTTACTGGAAAAGGAGAGAGGAGGGCTTGACCTTTGCTCCTGGACCCTAGGGGGTGCCAGAGCAAACCCCTCCCCATTGTGTCAACGAGACCCTGTCCCTGCTGCTGGTTACTGCTGGAGGCACTGACAGGAGAGGGTAACCCTGTAACAGCTTGACACAGAGGGACCGTGCACAGCCCCCTGAGTGCCTCTGCTGTGTTTGCATTCTCTCTTTGCTTCAGGGCAGGTGGAGGGGCTGGACCCCAAAGAGCAGGGCCAGAGGAGGCCAGTGGAGGTGAGGAAGCTCCTGCTGGGGTGGGCGTCACTCACTTGCACACAGGACATCTCCAGGTCCCTCTCTCACAATTCAGCTGCAGGTACGACTCTAAGTCGAAGCACTGTGGAGGTAGAGAGACAGACAGACAGACAGATGAGACCAGGACTGGCAGAAACCTCCTAGATGCAAGCAGTCCTGTCTCTGGGACCCTAATGAAGACCTCCCACTAGGGAGGGAGACAGGTGGTGGGCTGGTTGTTGGGTGGGGTGATGATTATGCTGACTTGCAGCCGACTCCCTGCCACGCTTCTGCCCAGTCCTCCTCATACCACCCCAGTGCCCCAGGTGACCACTGCCTATGTCCTCCAAGAAGCCTTCCTGATGCCCCCGCAGCCGTCCTTCACTGATCCTGCCCCATGAGAGACCCGCTCACTGAGGCTGGGGGCAGTATGGACTCAGGCCTTCCCATCAGCCCAGCCCAGGCAATGAGAACATATCCAATCCAGTTCATCAATGTGTGTCAGCAAATAAACCAACCAGATAGTGCTTCGATGCACCTTCCTGCAACGTTCTCCCAGAGTGAGGGAGGGTGGGAGGGAGGCTCCTGCCCGCTACAGGCCCTCAGGGCCAGGTGCATGTGACAGTGGGGCTGAGGGTTTGCTCAGCCTGGCCCCCAACTTCCTCTGCCTCCCAGCCCAGCCTGCATGCTCACGCCCAGCCTCCCCAGGGATGGCTTCTTGTGCCCCTCTTCTGAGATTCCTTCTCTGACCAAGCCCCTATCTAATGAATCTGGCCTACCCTGGGTTGCCCGGATTTGCTCTGTTGTAGCCACCTAGACTGTGACACGCATCCTACCCATTTCCTCAGCATCTACTCAGGGCAAGGCCCTGGGACAGAGCAGAAACCAGGCAGAGGGGTCCCTGTTCTCAGGTGCTGAACCAGCCCTGGCCGTATGTGTGGGGTTTCCAGCAGGCATCTGCCACCTGCTAGGGTAGGGACTGTCTAAATTTGGTTCTGTTGCCCCCTAGGAATGTAGCCCTGAGCAAGAAAAGATGCTCAAAGGACAAATGATAGCTGGAGAGAGTGAAATCTGCCGCTGAGGGCTAAGACCTCCTTCAGGGGTCAGAGACAGGCCCTGCTGCTCCCTCTGCCTAACCCCTCGCCATCCCACTCACACTCTAGATAGCTCCCCCACAGTTGTGCCTGCTGGGACCACTCACCTGGACGTGCTTGCAGTCATGGCCTCGAGCAGGCAGCTGGATGCGCCGGAATGTGATGGGGCACTTCAGAGACACCTTGATGGCTGTCTGCTCCACACCATCCTCTCCGTTGAGGGTCGTGTTGCCTGATGAGGCAGCCACGCTGCTGAAATTCCGCTTGACTGGGGGGTGGGGGGGGGCACAGGTGGATAAGGAGGCAGGGCCATCCTGCACACGCCTCCCACGTCCTCATGTGGCCGAAACTCACCCTGGTTCTCCAGCCCCTCAAACCCTGGGAGGTCCTGTGAATAACTTCAGCACACCCTGGTCTGGTCAAAGGGGCGCTCGGGAGGCCCAGCTCTCTGGAATAGCGGCTCTCAGGTGCCATGCATATAGAGTACATGTGCCCCTGCAGGTGGCTGCTTAGAGGCAGAACGGGCTTCGCTTTCACTAGGAAGGGGACTTTCCACAAAACTTGCAGAAATCTAGTCCAGCACTTCTCCACTGATTTTCTGGGTCAGTGCAGAGGGCCCTTAGGTGCTTTTGCACTTAATTCTGCAATGGGAATAGACAACTGCCTGGCAGGATTCTAGGGCTCAGGAGGTAATGTGAAGAAGCACAATCAAAGGCGAAGCAGTGGTCACCTCCCTGCATGGTGCTCCCCACCACCAAGAGTCGTCCTCTGGGTGTCTCCTCCAAAGGAGTGGACTGAGCAAGTCCCTCCCTCTAGACTTTAGGTACAAGCTGTCGGGTTGGGAGGCCAGTCTGGAATCCACCCCGTGCCTCCGTCTCAGTGAACACACCCCTTGTCAGTTCCTCCCATCCTTCCAGGTGATCATCTACTCCAGGAAGCCTGTCTGGCCTGTCTATATCACGGCATTTTGTTTTAATCTGCCTCATGTCCTATGCAGACAAGTCAGAATTCCCACTAGGTCTTGCAGTACTGTGCTCCTCTTATCATCCCCAAAGCCCTGGATGGAGGGGTATGAGTCAGGGGTGAGGGCTGGTGCCAAGGAAGACTCAGGGCCCAGTGTGTTGCGCATGGGGCTAAAGGTCGGTCCCGGGTGGACGGTGACCACTTCCTAGCCACCCACATACAGTGGGGTGGGGGCTGGTTCTTTGCTCCTGTGTCCCACTCACTTTTTGTGATGCAGTGCTCTGCAGGCAGGAGGCGTTTCTTGAGGAGGCCTTGCAGCACGGAGCGCACAGAGGGCCGGTGGACCAGCTGCAGCACGAAGAGGTGGGACTGCCGAGAAAGAGTTGACGCTCAGTCTCTGCCCCACGGTCCTCATCACCCTGCCCCACCTGAAGCCTCTGCAGGCCTAGGCTGTCCTGTGCCCGAAGGCCCCTAGAGGCCAAGGGCAGGAAAGGGTCCATGTTCACAGTGATGCTACTCTAGGGGCAGGTCCCCCAGGACCTGGGAAAGAGCCCTCAAAGCCCATGATGTGCCCAGGGACCTATGAGTCTGGGGATGCGGGCTGGGGTCACCACCCAGGGATAGCTGCCTCTGCTCTAGGCCTACAAGACTATGACACTGAAACACCCCTGGGATGGGGTTATGGGATACTGAGCATCAGGACTACAGCCCACCTTGCCTCCTAACCTCACTCACCACTGCTCCCCATCATGTGTCCTTCATCCTTCCTGCCAGAGGATAGCGTCCCTGGTCTTTACTCCTTCAGGAAGCTTTCCAAGACTGCACACCCCAACAAGCCCCCCAGACTCTTCACTCTGACACCATCCCCTGTCCTGTGACTCCTAACTCCTGGTGGCCTCACTGCCCCTATGTTCATAAGGGTAGGATCTGTGTCCCCAGAGAGGCCAGCAGAGTGAGACAGGAACTCTCCTTCCATGCAGGACCCCCAGCAAGCCCTGTGTGCAAGGCCCTGATCGCTGTGGGACAGGAGCACGGCTCAGTCGTAGTCTCATATCACAGTCATGCACATGATTCTAAGGCCATAGGTGGGTGAGGAAGGGAGAGCTAACCCCACACTTGGTGGAGTTGGGTCTAGGGGAAAAGGTGATTAGAATATAAACGTTTCTTGTGAACGAGGCCAGAACAGAGGCGAGCTTTGAGGAACACACAGAACTTCACCAGTGGAAGGTGGTGGTGGACACGGGTGGCGGAGTGCCCAGGATGGGCTACAGGAGTAAGTGGAGGCGAGTGTGCGGATGGCACGGAGGCTGTGGTATAAGAGGGACAAAGCCATACTTAAGGCCAGAGCTCAGTGTCTTTGGAGGCCCACCCCAGTTTGCTTTATTCCACAGCCCTGGAGGACCACTGCATGTTTCTGGAACGTGCTTCTGAAGACCACTTCGGTGGCTGTGGGGATAGGGACAGAGACCCAAGGACCAGGCTGAGGACTAGAGGGGGCGAAGACCTCAGGTTCCCACGCGGTGCCCTCAGCCCTGCCCGGCACACTCACGCAGCAGCAGGCCGTGACGGTGATCTGGATGGTGTTGCGGCCTGGCTGGCACACGTGCTTGAGGTGCAGGGGCTTGTGAGAGGTCTTGTTGTCACCACGCTCGATGGTGAGGGGCGTGGCGTTCACGCTGACCTGCACAGAGGCTGGCCAGTTGGTGTTCATCTGCCGGTCCTCGTGGTGGTAGCACTTGAACTGCAGCTCCAGGTCAGATCTGGGGGTGAGGGTGAGGCTCAGGTCGGCTCTGCTAGGGGGACTGCCTGTGGCCTTGATGACGCCTGGCCAGGCCACACACCCCTTAATCTCCACAGCCTCACGAGTCTCTCAGGATCCCATTCTCGGCTGCGACTGCTCTTCCAGCCTTCTCGAACTCTCCTCTCTCACCCTGCCCACATCTCCATCAAAACCCAGCCCGACAACCCAAATCCCCCATATGGCCCACATACGGCTCACCCCAGCCACATCCCACAGCTCCGGCAACAATCTCCCCTGGCCCCCTCCCACCCACCCATACAAAGAGAGACAAAAAGACACACGCTAATTTCATGAGACCAATTAGGAGGCTGGTTATGCCCATTCTCAGACAACAGCTGGAAGAAGGGCCCCAGGCCAAGGCCAAGTCTGGCTAGTCCCCCCCGAGGTGGGCCCCGAGGACACAGCCCTGAAGGAGTCCCCATGAACCCAGCAGTGACCACGTATGCACGAAAACCAAGCAAGGCCAGCAACCAGGGCCACAGGAGGCCTCCCAGGTGAGGGCACTCACAGGTAAGGAGGGGTAGGTAAGCAGGACCCTGCACAGGGGTCTCCCCACCCTCCTGCCTGAGTGTCTGACCCTCAAGCTCTCACGCCCACCCCAGCTCTATCTCCAATCCTCTCCACGGCCTGCTCGGCGAGGCTGAGGCAACATACCAGCTGTGTGTGTAAGCATGCATGTGCACATGCCCAGCTCAGACCCATCTTGTGCCCTCAAGGTGCTCACTGGGCAACTGAGGGGCTCTAGTCACAGGCACGTGATGAGTCCTGCCTGAGGAGGAAGGACTGAAGGTGGAGACATTAACGGGTTCTGGCACCCAGTGACCTGGGGCCAAGTCCCAGCTCAGCCCCACACTAGCTGTAAGAACTCCCCTAAGTGAATCAAGCTCTCTGGCTTCAGTTTCCTCATTGTCAATGGGGCAAGTACTGCTCACTCACAAGATCAAAGGAGATCAGGTGTAGAAGGTGGGGAACACAGGGCCTGGCCCAGCAGGGGACCTGCAAACCCTGCACCTCAGCGTGTCCAGATGTTTGAGCAGTAGCCCTGCTGGCCAGCCCCTTGCAATCTGCAGGGCTTGCTGGTTCAACTTGACCCAGCCCTGCTCCCACTCCAGCCTAACCTCTCTACATTCCTGCCTCTTCCCACAACAAGCCACATTCAGCTTCCCCTTTGCTAACTCAAGGCCTCTGCTAGAACACTCCTTCTCAGGCTTTAGGTCTCAGCCAGCCACCTTTTTCTCCGGGAAGTTGTCCCTGACTACTAACTCAGGGTGAGTGACTAGGGTGAGTGACAGCTGAGTCCCCGAGCTTGGGCCACTATGCTGAGACTGCCTGTCTGTCTCCCCAGTGTCTGCAGGTTCCCCATGACATCCCCAGGGCTTTGCACAGGGCAAGGCCCAGTCAACGATGCCGAACAGGTGAAGGTGGCAGGCACCTGACTAGGGTGCCTGGGCCGAGGGATGTCACCACCAGGGACCTCCTTCACCTGGCTCGGGCCTGTGAGAGGAGAGCTGGGATTGAGCCTGACACTCACCTCCACATCAGTGTCTGGTGGACCGTGGGCCGCAGATGAAAGACATGGTTGCTGACGGCCAGGTTGTGCTCGAGGCGGAAGGGCTCCAGCACTACGCCATCCCGCACAGGGAATGTGAGCCGCAGTTCGTCGTTGTGGTTGGCTGGGTCAGGGGAGGAGTAGGTGAGCCACATGCCTGTGGCCACCACGGGCACCCAGAAGCATGGGTGCCAGGGCCATGCGTGGGGCTTACTCACCCACACGACACACACACACCCTTGGCTGCACACTCAGAGGAACACACAGGCATGTGTGTTAACAGGGCAATAGAAGCTGTTAACTCCCACGTGTACACCAGGGAGCCCATCACGACCACCCCTGCGTTCCACATCCCACTCATCCCAGCTCTGCATCCCCTCTTGCCCCTATCTGCTCCCTGCTCTGGAAGCCCCAGGATCCTTCTCCCAGCCCCTTTCCACAGCTGACAGCTGCGCTTCCTCCCAGCCTCCAGCTGCTCAGGCAGGTGGTAGGGAGGCCTGCTGGCAGCCCAGTCTCAAATTTCCCTTCTGGGTGGGGCTTACCTGCTTTCAAGCCCTCCTGCCCTTTCCACATGCCCAGCCCCCACAGGGAGTCTGTCTTCCAAGTCCCCTGGCTCCTGCTGCAGGGCCCTATGTGGAGCTGCCCAGAGCTGGCCAGATAGAAGAAGGGAGACAATGGGGCACTCACCTGGGGGTGGTGGCAGAGCGCTCATATTTGGCTTGATGTCAGGTGGGAAGGGGGGTTTAACATCTTGGCTGGGGGACAGATATGGGGGGATGCTGCTCCCAGGAGTCATGGGGGGCGTGGGGTTCCCTGGAACAGGTGAGTGGGGGTAATTTGCCACAGGAACTGGCCTGGGAGGCTGGAGGAAAGAGAAACCACAGATAGGTTATAGGGTCACAGGGACAGAAGGGGCCATGGCTGTAGGCATACACCCCCCCATCCCAGGGTCTAAGGCTATGGCCCTGCCTCCCCTAAATGAAGAGAGCCCCCCAGGGAAAGCCATCCCTCCATCCTGGCTGGCACTCAGCCCTCTGCCCCCATTGGGAGACAGAAGGCCTGCAATGGGCCTCCCTACCCTTCCCTTGGGTCACGGTGCCATGCGGGGGTGCAGGGTCCCCTGCCCATTTGATAAATGGGGACATAGACTTAGGGTGATGGTCTAATATAATCTGGGAAGGAGAGGAGAGCTGGGATTGAGCCCAGGTCCCCTGCTACCTACATCACACCCTACCCTACACCAGCACGGCCCAGATGGAGTCGGGCCTGCAGCATCAAGAGGCAGTTTGCTCCTAGGAGCCCCTCTCCCTTCCTCTCTTAATCCATACTTTGCTGTCTTCCAGGACTGGCCAGGTCCACACTTGTCCCTGGCCCAGCCACCCAGAGATGTGTATTCTCTGTCCAGCCATCTGTGCCCCACAACAGAGGACCTGGGAATTAACCCCCCACCTGGGCCCTACTAATGTCCAGAGAGGCTGGGGAGGGAACAATGAGGCCTCTTGGACACACAAGTACACGTGGGTCGTAATCCGTAAGACGAAATCAGGAACATACCCTATTGACGTTCCCTTGGCTGTAGTTACTGTAGCTGCTTCCCGAGAAGGTGTTATTTTGTCCATTAAACTGCTCTGGCTGTTAAAACAAGATAAACAATGCTGTGAATGGAAGGCAGAAAAGCTTCCAGAAGCCCACTCTCTCCCCTGAAATGAAAATCTGCTGGGAGGACAGGGGATGCTGAAGAGGCCTGCCCAGTGCTGGGGTGGGGAGCAGGAAAGGGACAGAACAGGTCACCTCCTGGGGACAGCGTTTTGCCTCTCCCTGTCCACAGCTAGTAATCCAGCAAAAGAGTTTAAAAAATAGAAACACCTAGTGTGAAGCTGGAGCAAAAATAGTAAACCCACATGGCAGGTGGTCACGTAAATTGGCATGAGTTCTTGACAAATAAATGTAAAATATTTCCAGAGTCTTCACTCCCAAGAATGCACTTTATCATAAGCCCAAAGAAGGAAACAGTGCCTGAAAATATTCATCATAGTGTTATTTCAAAAGTGAAAAATCAGCAACAACCCAAATGCCTAACAGAAAGGGATGATAAAGTAAGGAGCAAGTATCTCAGTGGAGCGTCAGGTGGCCATTAAGAGTGAAAATCACAGAGACTCTGTAGCAATAAGTAACATGCTTAAGATTTCATGTCTAGTGAAAAAAACAGATTCAAAGTTACAGTAGTAACAACAGCTATATAACATGTTGATGCCCGCATGCATGTAGAGAGACAAGGTTCAGAATAAAATGTTAATATATTCAGGTGGGTGGTTTTTTTTTAAAGAATGTATTTCCCTTTATTATTACTATCTTGTATGCGCCATAAATAGTAAAAGGAGAAGGAAAACCATTGTCTGAGCCCCATGAGGATAGGAACCAAGAAAAGGTAATCTGACATTTTGGCTACCACACGCATAGCTCTGAGCATATAACATATCCAGAAATCTCTGCCTGCCCTTGGTGACTTCCGGGGACACACAGGGCCTGGATGTCACAGGTTGGGGTAGGGATGTGAGGTGGTGAGGAGGGAAGGGGCCTGTGGGGTGGCGGGACTCACCTTGTAATATTGCCCCATGTTGACCGTGGGGGGTGGGTACTGCCCCGTACTTGGCTGGCTAGGCATCCTTTGCCCAGGGTAGTTGGGAGACGTGAGTGGCCGTGGGGGGTTGGGGGTGGGGTACTGGCCTGGCTGGGTGGGGAACTGGCTGTTTGGTCCATATTGCTGGTTTCCATAGTTGGGCTGAGGTGGCAGAGAAAGGAGAGGGGAAAGGTCATCAGCGCTGCGGAGTTAAGCTGTTCACCAGAATGCCTGGACTGCCCCATCTACTTCCCCTCCTTTGCCCCCACTGTTTTCCACCCACAAAACGCCCTCCCCACCTAGAAGGGGGAGAGGCTCAACCCGATGATGCCGGGCCCCTCCTGCCCTGACATCCAGGGACATCACATTTGGCCTGTCCAGCTCCTGGCCATCTCCCCACGAAGCTGTCTTGCTTGAAGCTCCATGTTGCCTGAACTCTGAGAGCACTTTCAGAGCCCCTTTCCTATCATTATGAGGTGGCAGACTCTAAAGCCCCCTTTGCATCTCTCCTAGTGCTTGGTATGTGACAGAGGAACACAGACAACAGGATACACTTCCAGAAGGGCGACCCTCTTCCTCCACCCCTGCATTGTGAGGCTGAATCTGGGAGGCACTGTCCATGTACCCCACACTGAGCAGAACATCTGTGCAGAGGTCGGAAGAAGCAGGCTGGTGAAGGGACAAGACAACCCCTCTAGGGAGAGATAATTGAGAGAGAAGAGGAGACGGCTCCAGGGAGAGAAGGGATCGCTGTCCCTGGAGATCTACATAGTGATACGAGTTACTCCTGCTTACACCCATCTGCACTCTCCAGTCACTTCCCCATCTGTAAGATCAGGTGACCCTCAGGGCCACCTGCCACCTAGACACCCCAGGCCACTACATCCTATGGAGTCAGTGGTTTCTTCCTCCCTGTCTGTTGAAAGTCCTTGTCTATTAACTGTCTCTCCCGTCCTCTAGGCTCAGAGGCCCAGGAGACAGCTATGTCCCAGCGCCTGGCAAAGAAAGGCCCTTAATAGATACTTCCTCAACAAATGAAGGATGGAGCTGGGGGTAAATGGCCGAGGACACGCAATGTCTGTGTCAGTGCTGAAGAACTGGCCACTTGCACTGTTGCGATATAGTGTCAGGGCTTGACCCAGGTTCCTGGGTGTTTGAGGAGGTCCCTGACCTCTCCCCTTCTGGACTCAGGGCACCTCCATCAGTGGCCAAGCCACCTTCGAGCCCCAGCTAGGGTGGATTCTAACAGGAGTCACACAGACCTTTGAGGAACTTAAGGTCTTCGGGCTCTAAACCCACTGTAAACCCAAGTTGAAGGCCACAGTTCCGAGACAAGGATGGGGAGGTCGATCTGAGAACAGGTGTACAAGCAGAGCACTCGGAGAAAACGCTCTGGAAGGGGCCTTGTCTGGTCGAGGAATCAGGGCAGGCTCCTGAGGAGTGTGTGCCGGGCCAGCATTCTGGGGTTCCTGTGTCTTCTGCAGGTGAACTAAATCCTTACCCAGGTACCCAGAGAGGCCACTTGCTGCCAACTTGTTTTCTAAGTGCTTACTGAAAGCCTCGTGACACCCCCTCCAGGAATTCCTCCTTCTCTGACCTCTGTTGAGTTCCATACACCCCAGTGTGCATCATTCCCTTGTGGGATCCTGCTTAGACCTTATCTTTCCTGTTGGTCTCAGTTCCCGAAGGACAGGAGGTATGGGTTTCACTTCCCTAAATCTTCACCGATCCCTGGGCTGAGATGGCTACGCAGCCCAATGGGCAGCATTCCTCCCAACAGAGCAGGTGACGAGCCCTAAGAAACACTCTGTCTGCCTTCCAGTCACTTCTCTGACATGCACAGCCTTTAGATATTTACAGGGTTTTGTCTCGTCTCTCATTCTTGGAAGTGAGAAGCCCTCATGTGGGTGTAAGGAATGTGGACCCAAGGAGGTTTAGTTCCTTACCCAAAGTCACCCAGCTAGTGTCCGTATCAAGACAAGAGAGAACACTCAGAGCTACTGCGTGCTGCGTGCCCGGCCACACAGGCCCATGTACATCTTCTTCTTCAAGTCTCCCAAGCAGCCCTAGGAGGCGGGCTGCATTGTCACTGCCTTTCACAAACAAAACGCCTGAGACTCATGGAGATGATGTGACTTCTCAAGGTCTCCCAGCTGGGAATGGCAGAGCTGGTCTTAAACCCACGAGCACCTGACTCCTGAGGCTCTGCCTTTTGGCCCAGGTTTTCCGACGGTCAATCCATGCTCTTTCCAAGGTACTGCCCACAGCACTTGTGTCTTCAAGCCCCAGGTACCCCCACCTCCCACCCTGCCCACCACCTGCCTGCTGTTACACTCACCTCTCCTGGGTAGGGCCTCTTTATGCTTTGAATGGGAAGGGACTGGGGCCGGGGGCCCGGGTAGGTCTGCTGGGGCATCCGCTGCCCGTGTGTGCCAAAGGGGCTGATGCCGGGCGGCCTGGGCTGGTTCATGCCCATGGGAGGACCACTCATTCCCGAGGGTGTCATGCCAGCCGCCATGCTTGCGGGATTCATGCTGCCCCCCATGGAGGCAGGCCCCCGCGGCCCGGGCTGGTTCATGAATTGGCTGTTATACGCCTGGGTGGGACCCATCTGGAAAGAGGAACAGACCTTCAACGGGAGAAGAAAAAAAAAAAAGAATAAAATGCCACATGCATTGAAAGTGCAGGAAGGGACGGGTGGGGGAGGTGGGGGGCTCACGGTTAGGGGGCACTTTCCTGTGTGGCTGCAGCTGGTGACCAGGCCCCAAGGGACCGCCTGCAGGCCTCCTGAGTTCACTGCTGCCCTCTGCAGGCCACAGGAAAGATGCAGCCCGAGGGATGTTGCAGGGTGGGGCGTGGACACTCCAATGCACAGGCAGCATTTCCAGGGTGGCAGGCAGGGAACAAGGAAGTGGGTGCAGGAGTGGGGAGGAGAATGGCAGGATGGCAGTGGATGAGGATGGAGGCAGGAGCCCCTCTCCTGGAAGTCCTGGCCCTGCCCTTGTTCCTTGGCCAATGGAGACAGACCCTCCACCCGCAAAGTCTGATGCAGCCCCAGCACCCACCTCTGCCCACCTGCCCTGCTGGCCCCATCCTGCAATCCCCACCTCCATGCCTGTCCTGGGGCCCGTGGTGCCCCAACGCCCACCCTATCCTTTTGAAGGTCAGAGGAGCAGAATCCACAGACAGGCTGACTAAGAGAGCAATGGCCTTCAGAGGCCACCCAGGGGACAGACTGGTGACAAGGCTATTTTAGACACTGAGCCACTTCTTCAGTGAGTAGGGGCCCAGAGAGAATAGGGAACCTCTTCCCCTGACACAGAGACACACACAAGCCACTAACCCACGCAGAACAAACAAAAACACCTAAACACCACTCCCTGCCATACCCAACCACATTGGAACACCCACATCCTAACATATAGCCCTCTACATGCTTCCAAGAAAACCCAAACGCACCCTGACACCATCAGCTCCCCCCCAGTACACAGGGCCCCACAGGTACCAACACCCCAATTCTGATTCCCTGGAGCTATCTGCCTGGGCGAGGCTAGACCAGGAGAGCAGGCCCTTACCGGTCCATACTGGTTTATATCCTTGTTCTGTGTCTCCTGCAAGGCTGCCACAGTGGCTGTGGCTGTGGCTGTGGCTGTGGCTGCTGCTGCTGCTACTGCAGCTGCCGCAGCGGCAGCTGCTGGCTGAGTGAAGTCAGCAGGTGGCCTGGTGTGTGGAGGGATGCCCATGCCTGCAGGGGCATTAGGACCCCCAGGGTAGCTGTGAGGGAGAGAAGGAAGAGTTAGATACTGCCTGAATCTAAAGATGAACCCATGACAAACCCTGGGCTGGGAAGGAGGACAGGGCCCATCCAGGCCCTCTTGCCCTTAGCTCACAGATGGGCAGGTGTCCAGACTCAGAGCACAGAGGGGACAGGGGCCTCCTGTGGGTTGGCGCCTTTTGTGCCACTTAGTGACCACTAAGCTGCTGTGGTTTTAGAGCACTGGCTGGGTGCCGGCTGGAGCTCACACACGTGCACAAGATCACTGCACCCCGGCTGCCCCCAGCCTCATCTTCTGGAGGAGAACACTGAGCCTCAGAGAACCTGAGCAACTCCAATGGTAGATGGCAGGCTGGGGATGCAGCTTCAGGTGTGTCTGGCAGCTGTGTTTAAGGACAAGACCTTACTGCACTGCCATCTGGCAGGACTGTGGTCATCTCCAGGAGCTGGGATGGGTGAGGCCAAGGAGGCAGTCTTAGAGCAGGGTGGGGAGGCAAGAGGAAGGATGGGGCACCTCTGTCCTGCCCCACATCCCTGGAGTGCCTTCCTGGGATTCCTCGCCCCTTTCTCCCTTACTCTTGAACCAAGGGCTTCCCCGCCTCACACAGTTCTGCCCCTGTAACCAGCAGGGCAGGGTGGTCTTCCTCCACCCCATCTAGAGCTGCTCTGCAAATCCCCTGGTCCAGCTCTCTCAATGGCTTCCAAATTAGAAAGACACGAGGCAGAGGAGGGCCATTCATTCTGAGGAATGCGAATATAGTCCTTCCATCATCATGGGCCTGACGGCTGTCACCCAGCTGCTGCAGTGTCTGACCCACAGACCAGCCTTGAAAATGGGGGATGACTGCGTCCCTTCAACCGATAGGACAATTGAGGATGAGAGAAGTGCCAGCAGGGCTCACCCATGTCCCAGGCCAGGAAGCATGGCGCTAGGACTTAAATTTGACTCTTCTCCTGGCTGGAGGGGAAGGGCATGGCTCACGTACCAGTTCTCAAGGCTGTTGCCCCCTGACAGCCTGCTCACCTGGCCCCGAAGCCCCCGCTGCCAGGGTAGTTGGGCCGGCCATACATTCCCTGCTGGATGTAGGGCTGAGCAGGGCCAGCCTTGGCTGAGAACTGCTGCTGCTGCCCAGCAAACTGTGGGGAGTTGAGGCCGGGGTTGCTGGTGGTCATGCCTGACGCCATGGGGTTGCCGCCTGGATTCATGGGGTTGTTGGCATTGGCCATAGGGTTCCCAAGGACCTGTGGGAACAGAGATTGTCAACCAAGTGGGTACCCCAGGTGGCATGGAGAGGAAAAAGGAGAAATGGGGGCAGGGGTGGAGAAACAGTGAAATAGAGGGAGGACAAAAGAGGAAAAGGAGGAGAAAAATGGAGGGCATTAACTGTTCCCAGAGTATACAAATGATTAGAAGGGTGTTACCCAAGCCTGGAAGAAGGCAGCCTAAGAAATGAGACCTCAGCCTGTGATGGAATGAGGTAGGGCTGGTCCTGCACCAGGCAGCAGGTGGCAGCACTGGAATTTTCAGCTCCTCCACCCCACAAAGGGGCCTGGATACCCAGAAGGTCAAGACACACAGAGGCTCTGCTCTGTGAGGGCAAAGAGAAGCCCAACTTGCCAGCTCTGGAGGGCAGCAGGATCCTGGCCAAGGGGCCTCTGTGCCCGGGACCACAGGTAAGCCCAATCGTTCTCTCCAGGGTGGCAACCAGCCCTGAGCCTTCCATGTGGCCATGGCAGAGGGGAGAGAAAGGAATGAGAGCGGGAGGCAGGGTTGACTAGGGGTGTGGAGAGGGATTTGTCACAAGTTTAAGGTTCAACATTTTATTGAAATCTAACCCAGGCTGTCCAGGGTCAAAGACCTCAGATGTTGGAGCCCTGAGGCCAATAACACCCAGGAATTTCTCCTGTTCATCCAATCAAAGTAAATGTGGGCTGGGGAAGAACCCCTTGCTGCCTGTCAGACGAAAGCTGTTCCCCCAGAAAGGCCTTAGGATGGGGTCAGTGCACAGGAGCCAGCTGCTGCCCTCCTGAGGCAGGTGTAGGCCTGTCCTGGGGGAAGGTGTGTCCACAGTTGGGTGTGCCCTGAAAACTGGTCTTTCCAGCTGAGTAGAGCCTGGGAGAGCAAGGAGGGGCGGCATGGCTTGGTGACCCAAGGGCCCCAGAGCCTGGGAGGGGCTCTCGTTGGGGGCAGGACAGGTTCTTACCTGGCTCTGGGATGTGTTGGTCACTCCCCAAACCGTGGTGACCACGGAGAGGGAGCCGGGAGGCTGGTTGGTGTTCTGCTGCCAAGGGACAGAGTCATAGGGGAATGACCCATCACTGTGGAGGGAGACAGAGGGGGGTCCTCAGAGGCTGCAGCCATGGGCTGAGACGGAGGCAAACCCCATCACCCCACCACACTCCCTGGCTCCCAGCCAAGCTATGGCATCCCCATCTCAGTAAGTTCTGGATCCCCTGAGACTGGCACAGTGTCCGAGGCAGAATAGGTGTGCCTCGCATGGTGACAGACTGCGCAAAAATGACCATCTCTCCCCTCAGCACTGTGGAGGTGCCACCCCTGTAGCTGTCTGTCTCACCTTAGGCCAAAGTCCACAGGCCATGCTGTGGAGGAAGAAGAGAGACCCACAGGTGCAACCTAAGCTCCTCTTTCCACCTTGCTCTGACCCCAAATGGCTCTCCAGAAAGAGCTCTTGTTTCCCCACCCCAGCTTCCACAGGACTTCCCAGGCCCTTCTCAGAAAAGGCAGGAAGGGCCCCAATCCGAGTCCGGCTCTTCCCCGCTTCCTCAGGAGCCCGCATAGCAGGCTGGCGGCCCAGCCCAGCCGATCTGGCCTTTGCAAGGAGCTTCCTTACGTCACTCTTCCATCTTGACTCTGGATCACAGGTACAGGCCTACCTGCCACGCTGCCTCCTCTGCTCCCAACCCAATCTCTCGTTCCACCAAGCCAATCCCCCTCAAATCCCCTAAGACACTTTGCACAGTCACAGACCTGCAGTGGCTTCCAGTGTTCACAAGCTGAAGTCTGAATGCACACTTTAGAATAACCGACCATGTTGGCTAATCCCACCCAGCTGTGCTGCCCACCTTGGCTCTCAGCTCTCCCAGCGGGTCCCCCACTGTCCCCACTCTTCTTGCCAGGCCCAGTAGTACCCACCTTGTTTGGTGACCTCTCCTCAAGAGCCCTCAAGCATCAGAAGCAGGGACTCAACCTTAGGCCTAATGCCCTGCCCTGCACATAGTAAGTGCTCAATAATGGCTTCCTATTAGTGGCCGTGGTACAGGTGGAGAGTGAGGTCCAGCAGACCCCAGGGAGAAGAGCAGGGCCACAAGCTTGAGAAGAGGCCAGCAGGGTGACAGCAGGAAGAACCCATCAGGGGTCCCAGCCCTCAGGAATACGAGGCTGGGGCTGCCTCGCCCCTGGAGCCAGTCCTGCTTGACTCTCGGCACCTCTCACCCAGACACAGCCCCAGGAGAAGCCAAAAAGCAGAGTGCCCACATCTGTGCTACTACCTCTGCCCATGGCACCCCGATGGGGGTGAGGCCTGCAAGGCAGCCCAGCTGGGTATCAGGGTAAGAGAGGTGGTAGGAGGGAGGAAGGGGACTCTGGAGGAGGGTAGTGTGGTAGGAAGGCACCTCATGCCTCTGTCTGGCTGTGCCTTCATCACAGGAAGTTAGCAGAAGGCAAAAGCTCCCACTCAGGCCTTGTGAACTTGTACCCTAGCCGAGAAGCCCTGGAGGCCGGGGTGACTGGGAGTGGAGGTGCTGGGAGCCAGCCCAGAGGTCAAGACTTCCTGCAGGACAGGCAGGGAGAGGGGGCCAGGGGTCTGAGTCTTGTGCCCTGCTCCTTGCTGGGTGAAGCCCTTGGCAGTGCTGGTCAAGTCAGGTGGTCGCCCCGCAGAGGCAGTCAGACTGCAGGGCAGGACCATGTCACTGTCTGCCCATGCTTGCTCTCCCCCTGCCTGAGCATGTTCTCTGCCTGGCCAGCCTCTGGCTTCCTTCCTGTCTCTGCTCAGAAGTCACCACACTAGAGGACCTGGCCCAACTCCCTTAGAGAAGGGCAACTCCACCCCACCTCCCTTTTCCTCTTACCCTGGCTTCTTTTTGGCACCCTGGATACAAGTCCTGGACCCACCCCTCCATGGCTCAGGGCCCTGGTGCAAGTCCCTGAGCCTGCCTGCACTCAGTTTCCTCATCTGTAAAACAAGCATAAGAATGGCATCCCCTGCTCTACTCTCTCAGTGTTTCCAAACAGCCGGTCATGAAACATGAGCGGGTCATGACATTGAACTAGCATGAGGGGAAAAGGAGGGAATAAAACAGAAAGTGATCAAGTGTGAGCACATAGTAAGGATGAATATATTCCTTGAACTTCTGTCTTGATTTTATATACAAGTAGATGTGTGCCCTGGGTTTCAGTGTCATATGTGTATTTACTGTAGGTCTCTGTCGAGTCAGTCTGAACAACACAGGCCTCAGGAATGTAAGTTTGATGTGGATCAAAGAAGAGAATGCAGACAAAAAAGACTTCATCAACTGGAAAATGACATGGACTTCAGCATTACTCACGATTTCTGAGGGGAGAGGAGCTGTCCTCTGGGAACCCAGCCCTCTTCTGCGGGCCAGACATGACATGGGTCAGGGGAAAGGGGGCAAGGCCAGGTATATAGGTCAAAAGTGACAGATGGCTCATCCTCTCTGCATCTAGGAGGCTGACTGAAGACCTGGGAGCCCAGAGAACTTGGGTGGGGCCAAGAAGCCCAAGAAAGTAAGCAATGAGTCTGCATCTCAACGTAGCTGGGCTGGAAGAACCTCTGCTCTCCTGGGGAGGTCACTGGAGACCTGGGGCACTGCCTAGTCCCAGGCTGGCACACAAGAGTCTCACAGGGAGGCCCTGCAGGCTACAGTTTTAAAGAACAAAGAGGAGACCCCTGGACATGCACTCTCCTGTGGGGACCTTGTCCTTGGTGTGGCTGGATTGAACACAGGACCCCCCAGCAACTTAAAGTACAAGCCTCAGTCTATCTCCTCTCCCCAAAAGCTCCCATCAACCCTTCACACTGGTGCCAGGGTTCTGCCTGAGGTTCATGTCCTTTCAGAACACACCTGGCAGCCTCAGGAAGTAAAGCCCCCTGGGAGTCCCCGGAGCCCGGCAGGGCCCTGCCTGAGCCCAGGGGGCCGGCAGCTGCTGCCTCACCACCCCAGGTGGGGAGGCCCCAGTGAGCTAGGATACTACACAGGCCCAAAAACAAGCTCCCGACTGCCCTGCAGCTCCGTGGGTGGGCCTTGTGGGCGGAAACCGGCTCCTTCCTGTTTCGTCCCCTCCACCCCAAACTTGGTGAGAAGCAAACTTAACCAACTTTCCCAAACTGGGCATCCTGCCGTCTGGCTGGAAGGCTGACCCCAAAGCCCAGGTGCACACCTGGTGCACACAAGTGTCTATGGGGAACATGTAGATGTGCATGCACAGGGGTCTTGTTGGCATGTTGCTGTGCACACGCCCGGGAAGAGACAGGCACACACATGTAAGGGAGATCTCAGGGACTTGCTCGCCCCCACTCAAACCTGCTGCAGAAGCAGAAGTGGCAGTCGCACCAACACGACTGTGACTCATCTCCTGGGGAGACAGCTCCTGCTGTTGCAGCAAAGGCTCTCACTCCCACAGGCCCACAGTGGCAGTCAGCCCTGCCAGCACCTCTGCCCAGACTCAGATTCTGCCATCGGGGAGTAGCGTAACTCCCTGTGCCTGAGGATCAAGGACAAGCCATGCTCATGGGTCCTACCAGGGTGGGAGGAGGCCTAGGGTGATGAAGAGAAGGCCTAGGGGGCTGCAGGGGGTGTCCTGAGGTTCCTTCCCTCCTCTGGCAAGTACTATTTAACGAGCAGAAGTGCTCAGCTCAGGTCAGAGGTCCCTGGCATTTCAGGACTGCCCAGTGGGAACCACTTCCCTCCAATCCATACCTGGTTGCAGTTCAGAGGGAGGCCAGAGCCCCTAAGATCTGAGAACCCACTCAGTAATCTTGCCCAGCTCTGCACACCCTCAATCCAGCATAGCCTGGTCTCATGCCCCAAGCTTCCCCGAGCCACAGTCTTGCCCAGCCAAAACTGCCCCAGGAACCCTCTTCCACCTCCAGAGGCACCAGGGCCGGAAGCCACTTAGAATCTCAGCAGTGTTCTGCCTGCCAAGTGCCTCCTAACATGGGGGCAGCTGCTTTCCCATCTCTGTGCCTCTTCTCAGCCTGCGATGCTTTGTCTCTACCCCGAAAATTGCCACTCATTCTTTCCAGGCTCCTCCTCTAAAGGCCACCTCCTGCAGGAAGCCCTTGCCACGTCCACTGGCCTGAGTTCTCCTTGTTCCTCACATTCCTGGGGCCTGAGTGAGAGCCCTCCTGCCTTTTCCCTTCTGCCCAGGAGCTCTGAGTTCTCAGGCTCCCTGTGCCTGGCAGGATGTCTTCACGTACTTGCAGGGCTCAGGAAGCCTTTGATAACCAAAGTGCCAGGGAGAAACACCCTCCTGGTGCTCTCTCTCAGAGGGATGCCTGAGAGTGAATGGACATGTCTATGCCTTAGCCTGACTGCCCATCACCTCTAGTGTGCTTGTGATGACATGGGTACCGGCACCCAGCAAGTGGTTGGTCCTGCCTCCAGGGAGAGGGGCACAGTGAAGCCAATGAAGCAGCTACTCCCTCTCTCTATGCCTCAGTGTTCTCAGCTGTAAAACGGGGTGATGACAGGCCCTCTCTCAGAGAGTTGGCATGAGGACTAATTGAGTTCACACGTGTATGGCAAAATGACCATGTCCAGCATGCCTCGTGCACCCTAAATTGCTAGCTGCTGTTGTTACGATTTATCAAGCGGTTCCTAGATGCAAGGAACTATGTGAAGTGACTTTCTCCTACGAACTCACTTAATCCCTTTAAGCGGGCTCAACAGATGCATCTCTTAGGTGCTAAGGCTCACAGGGTCCCAGAGCTCATCGGGGCAAGGTTGACAGGTTGGCCTGACCACATCCTACTGTGCCAGGGAGCTAAGGATCCGGTAAGGCCGTGCTTCTGCATACAAAGATGGCGATGATGCAAGGGAGCGCACACGACGAAGGCAGTCTAGAAATACTCAAGGATTCCAAGAAGGGGCACAGCTTCCTGGGGGTTCTTGGGGAAGCCACACAGCATGAAGGGACAGAGGATATGTAAAGTTTGGTCTCAAAGAGAAAACGCAAATGGTGTCCCAGGAAAAAAACACTTTATACATCAAATCATAGCTTTAGCCTGGACTGAGTATATCAGCAAATATTTAGGGATTCTGACCACATATTTTTGAGG